AACCCATAAAAATATCACAAAAATGATAAAGAGGGACTTTTTTTTTTTTTAAAGATTTATTTATTTATTTACCCAAGCACTGGGTACAGTCAGAAGCGCGGGAGGGTGAGAGAATTCACCAGAGCCAGAGCGAGGAGCAAAGCAGGCAGAAGGACCGAAGTACACTGCTGAGGGGAGCAGTGGGCGGCAGGAGAGGTCTGCGCGCCATGTGGGACCCTCCCGGGTGGCCAGGGATCGAACCAGTGCTGCAGAGGCTGCAGGCAGCTTTGCAGCCCAGCACTCAACTGCTGCGCCACCGGGGAGGCCCAAAGAGGGATATTTTATCAAACATCTGACCTCAAATACTGCCTCCAAACTGTCAATGTCATCAAAAATAAAGAAATTCAGAGAAAATGTCACCCAAAGAAACCTGATGACCAAGTCAGTGGGATCCTGAAACAGTAAAATAACATTGGATAAAAACTAAGGAAATCTCAAACTATGGCCTTGGTTGGAAATGCAGGTTGGAAATGCAGTTATTCATTACTATTAACCACCTATTTCTGCAGCATCCAGTTTCTCATCACTCTTTCAAGGAGGTCATTTGTCTGAATTTTGTTCCCTTGACTGCTATCCTAAATCTCAATTTCCACATTTATATACATATATAAAACCCCAAAGGTAAGAGAGAATTTGTAGGTTAGGTTCATGTAGAGAGGTTTCTCAAAGATGTTCCACTTTGGAGTTAATGCCTTTTAAATGTATTGGTTGCTTAATAAAATAACAAAGTCTACTAATTTAAATGAAGTATGAAATCTAGCTAGTAATAACATATCAATATTGGTTCATTTGTTGCACATTTACGCCATAGTCATGTAAGATAGTAATAATGGAAACCAAGTATGAGGTACATGCTAACTCCCTGTACTATCTTTGCAACTTTTCTGAAAAATCCAAAGCTAATCTTAAATAAAATGTTTATTTTTAAAAAAGGAATGAGATTCAAAGCATGTTAAGGAGGGAGAAAGACAATGCAGGAAGACTGGACATAGTCAGCGGGCAGGCAGCCTTCAGTAGAACTCAGCCTTCAGGTTGAGGAGGAAACTGTGACCATGGTGGGTGGAATCTAAGGACAGTGGGCAGCCCTGGATGACCTATGGACAGTTAGAGGAGGCTTAAACTCTGGCCATGCTAAGAAGGTCCTAGTGGAGGTCATCAGCACAGATTTTGGCCAGGGACAGCCAGCCTGTCCAAGACCAGAGAAAGCTGGTGCTGTGATCGACCTAGATAAGCAATCAGCACACAGTTTCTGCAAAATCCCCTCTCTTTTAATAAGAGCCACAGTAAATGCACTTCCTCCTTGTTCAACTATTCCTCCAGGTTCATTATTCTTTGAAGCCTCCTCTTCAACCGCCCCTTCTCTCCTGTTTCCCACCTTCTCCAATTTTCCCATTGAGAGAGATGAGTAATAATAGTGCAAAAAAACCTGATGGTGGCTTAGAGAAAATTCTTAAATTAAAGGGTTGGAGAAGCAAGATATAGAATAAGTCAAAGAAATCCAAAGGGGGTTAGAGCATTTAAATATCTCCTGCCAGTAAAGATAGTATTTCTCCAGTTTTCTAAAGGACAGTAAAAAAAAAGGAAAGGAAAAACCAAAAGTTTTCCAGGTAGTGATTATTTTTTTTTTTAATCTGAGAGTCAGAGAAATAAGACCTGGTGGATCATTTCCCCTCTGCTCACAACGAGCAAGACAGCTAAGAACACCTAAAAGTGGACAGCCAAGAATAAGACTAAGCCAAATGAGAGAATTCCACACAAGAGAACTATAATAGCACACGTGGTGTCTTTCTTACATTACAAAACACTTTCACATATACTGTCTAGAGAGTCTAACAGAAATGCAAGCAGTAATTATGAAGAATCTCATTTTACGGAGGAGAGAGTGGATATTCACAGACTTCAACGACCTGCTTGAGTCCCCAGCTCAACACGGATGGAGCAGAGGCCAGAACCTTAGAGCAGTGCAGGCTTCCATTACGCTCAGCCTCTGAGGGGCACGCCATAAATAGACGTAGGTAAGAAGATTAACACTAATAATGAAACGTCAATATATATCTTTACTCCAAAGACACATAGAGGAAAATGAAAATATTTAATTTTCTTTCAGCGGTACTGTTAGTGAGGAAAAGGCATTATGCAAGAAATATTACAGAGCTGATGAAAGAGATAGAAAGAAACTTAAAAGCACAGGAGTCTCTTAGTTTGACCTTAAGTTAGTTATTCTTAGACTGAAAATGAGGGAAATTAAGCAGGTGATACATAGATCTTTTTAAAAAGCCTAAACATCTGGATCATTATGTGCTATTCTGAAACAACTGAATAGGAAAAGGACAAAACAATGTTATAGAAATCAGGAGCTAAAACTTGTGAGAAAGTGGTCTAAATTTATATATTCTAAAAACATGACTCAAAGAGACATAATCACAGCCTATAAATATCCTCTGAGCAACAATATGTGGTAAATAAAGTAAGTGAATTATTCACAACCTTAGGTTCAGGTCATTTCTTTGTCCAGCTGTCGAAGGAAGATAATGCTTTCTACCTGAGCTGGTGTCCTCAGAAAATTAAAACAGCCGAGGAGACTCTTAGGGCTGGTACTGCTGGAGCTACCCAGGAGAAGGGGTAAAACGCCCCACAGAGAATGGCCCTCATGGCTTTCTGCATCGTTAGGAATTACACTCGAGCGTTACATCACTCAACTGAGTATATTCATTTCTCCCTCACTTTTGAGAAGAAATTACAGAAAACAGAATCAAATCCAAAACCACTTTTGGTTATTGGATTGGAAGAAGAACCAAGCATCAACTAGCAAGTCTGATAGAAAGCACCTAGCTTTGATAGCAGGAGGTGGTGTGACCCTGAATTTCAGATTTGCAAAGTCAAAGACAGTAGATGAAGGTTCTCGAAGCCCTCTCAGACCCTGCTGTGCCACAGTTTTCTCATTGTTGTAAGGTGAGCATATTTGTCTTACTTTGTAAACCACATTTTAAATAGCCAGGCATTTTTAAAAAACACAGAGCTGAGTACACACAATCATCATTATTATGATTATTGCTGTTATGCTTCAAAAACGCCATTTTCCACAAATATTCCTTCTAGGAATAGTGCAAATAGTGCATAGTTTCTTCCCTTTTGAAATTTTCTAGATTTTCTGAGTAAGTCTTCTGATCCCCTGAAGCCACAAGTTATTTCAAAAAACCTCTTTAGTCCCAGCACTTGGGAAGGCCTCAATAGTTTGAATTGCAGGCAAGCTGATGCTGGGCAGGCCCCTGGTGGGTGGCCACAGCTCTCCTAGGGTTGTTTTTTTTTTTAAAGATTTATTTATTTTATTTACACAAGCAATGGGTACAGTCAGAAGCACGGGAGGGTGAAAACGAGCCAGAGGGGAGAGCAGAGCAGGCAGACTCACGAAGTACACTGCTGAGGGAAGCAGCGGGCAGCAGCAGAGGTCTGCGCGCCCAGGTGGGACACTCGCCTGGTGGCCAGTGGCTGGGGATTGAAGCGGCACTGCAGAGGCTGTGGGCAGCTTCGCAACCCAGTGCTCAACCGCTGCGCCACCGGGGAGGTCCTCTCCTAGTGTATTTTTTAAAGCACCAGGACCTCTCTAAACATAGTATGCTCAATTCATTGGCAGATCAATCCAAATCCAAGCAACTGTTTTCTATCCTCTTCCCCATGACAATTGTTCTAGCCTCAAAGAGAAGCTGCCTATAGTTGGTTTTACTTATATTCATTTCTCAGGCAAGGAGAAGGGCTTAGGTCACTTGACAAGGTACTCACCCCTTACATGAGTAATGGTTCCTTATTAACACCCTCACAAACACCCTGAGGGGTGCCTTGTTGGTTTCTACCACTGTCTGCTGCCCTGTGTGTATCGCAAGCCAGCATGGAGGGGATGGGCATTCACTGAAGGCCGCTTGCTATGACCCCCGGCCACCCACAACGTGAACTGCTCCCAGATTTGGACAGTGAGTGTCTAAGGAGAGAGCCAAGCTTGAAAAGCCTGCATCTTCTAGGGAAATATCTGGGGCCTATTTTCAAGCCCATAGCAATGGTAGCCTAGGGTTTCTCCAATGTTCTTTACTCTAGAGGGTAGACCAGGCGCACTTCGGTGGAAACTAGGTTATGATCATCATACCAGCCCCAAGGAGGTATAGACTGACTTACCACAATGGAAAAACTTTGCAGACTTTGAGTAAATGCCTATATAATGAAGCTGGACAGTCCTATCACAACCTCATTTACACACAAATATTTGGGTACGCAATGTGTGCAAACACACACACACACACACACATAATGTTAACGTATGTGAATTTTTTCCATTACAACTGCAAAGTTTATGAGAAACACAATCAGGATTCACATGTTGCCTGTGGTAACTTCCTATAAGGAGAAATTAACAGAGCTTCAATCTCTATTGAATGCTTTCCTGAGTTGGTGGAATTTACCAGACCTGCAGTATTAACACAGAATTATGGAAATTGGAAACAAAAAGTTGGAATCTACTGGCAATGATGGACTCAAGATGAACTCAACTGGAAAATATGGCTAACTAAAAGTGACATTCTTTGTGCTGGAATTTTTCTATCTGAAAGGTTTCAAAAGGCTGTAATTATTTTGAGTTTTCAATTCAGCCCTGTTCAAGCTAAGCCTTTTATTTTCTTCATTGCTCTGTACCTTTCCTCCATGGCAACTCAGGCATTGCCAAGCACTGAAATGGTAAATTCAGATCGATTTTTATACAAGTATCCATTTCCAGGAAATGATACACAATACAACTTTTGCATCCTCTGCACCAAGAAAAACAAAGAAATATTTGTATATCTAAATTTTTATCATGTATACAAGCTTTAAATATCGAGCACAGTGAAATAAATAACCTGATAAGAAATGGCCAATTAAAGACAGTGAATAATTTCCTTGCAAGTTAGTGCTCTTTCTGAAGAACTTAGACTTACCTCGTGGCTTTTGGGTCCCAAATCACAATGTCAGCATCTGATCCCACAGATATTCTTCCTTTTCTTGGATAGAGATTAAAGATTTTAGCTGCATTTGTGCTGGTAACTGCCACAAATCGGTTTTCATCCATTTTACCACTGTGCTATAAAACAATTCAAGGAAGAAAACGCATTTGTTGTAATGATCAAATCTTAAAAAAAAATCTTCTATCAATAAAAGTAGAAGACCATATCTCTTAGAACCAAAAAGAACTGTGCACAGTTTTTATATTGTGTGGTCAGACACAACTGCGGATGCTGATAAGTCTTAAGCAATCTTAATGATGGGAATGATTGGTTAAGCTTGAAGATGACTTCTCAAAACCCTATAAGCTTTATAAAAACACCTCCACTGGGGCCTCCCTGGTGGCGCAAGGGGTTAAGTCACAACCTATGAAGCTGTCTGCAGCCACTGCAGCACCAGTTTGATCCCCAGCCAGGGAGCTACCCAACTGGCTCAGCAGACCTCTCCTGTCTCCCCCGCTACTCCCCTCAGCTGTGTATTTCATTTCATCTGTCTGTTCTGCTTCCCACTCTGTCTCTGGTGAATCCTCTCTCCTCCCGCCCCTCTGGCTTACACCCCAGTTCTTGTATGCATAAATAAATCTTTAAAAAAACAAAACAAACAATAAAACCACCCCCTCTAATTTTTTTCAGTCTTCCCAGAAGCACAGCTAAATGGTAACAGTACTTTCAAATCTTGTTTATAGTTTACTGCCTCCCCTTACTACATTTAAGATCTGGCTTATTTATTGCAGACCCAAGATTGATGAGATGATTATGTAGACATTAAATAGACTATTATAGAGTTGAGATAAAATGAACCATTAAGTCAGGTGACAGTGCTTTTTAAAAATGGAAAAATTAGTTCAAAAGACTCAATTTTGTATATTGAAATTTAATTGAACCAACTGTCATGGACAATCTATTCCAAAACATTTTAATATGGACAGATTTTGGAGGGATGTGGTCCCTCTAAAATGACTTTTTTTTTAAATTATTGAGAGTTTATCTTTTTCATGTGGTAAGATTATCCTTAAAGTTTGTCAATTGGTACCTGTCTCAAAATGGTTAAGAACTATGTCCTGAAAGTACTATTTCCCTTAGTAGCCCATCTTATTATTTCAGAAATTAACATGGTTTCTGTATGTTATTGAGAAATATTTCATCATTTTAAAAGCCCTTTATATACTTGGGAATTATAATAGATTCCAAAAATCTGCTGTAATGAAGACACTCATTATAATAATAACGTAAGATCAAAGAGGTTTGCTATCGAGAAAGTCTAAGCAAAGTGAAGTCATCTGGGAAGGTTAGAGTTAAGGGAGAGCAACAAGGGTGAAGAGGCTGGCTAACAGAGATGGCTATAGAGATGTTTTGAAGATTCTTATATGTAAATTGTTTAAATATCATTTTACAAGTAATAGGGAAAAAGCAAAGGATTTTAGAGAGGAAGGAACCATGTACAGACCATCATATTAAATGGTGACTCTGATACTGGCATTTAGATTTTAGCAAGCGAGAGACTGGTGACAAGGACACCAGAAACCATGTGGTTACTGCCTTGGTGGATATGGGCCTCCAAGTAGAGCCGTAGACATGAAGATGGAAATAAGGAGGCACTTTGGAAATAATATTGGCAAGACCTGTTCAATAATTAAAAGTCCATGGGATGTTCAGGAGGTACTGAGGTGTGAAATACGGTAAAGGTCATCCAAGGGATGGTTACTGGATGTGGGGGAGAAGGGCATGACTACAGGACCTCAGGTCATCACGCCTCCCCTACTGAGCTTTGCAACTATACACCTCAACCAACTGGACTGGCTAACATGGATTTATCTGATTTTTTTTCTGTCATCAGGGAGAAAATTTTCAATCATTGAAATGTTTTAAAATTCTTTATCTAGACTTTGGATTTTTATTTATGTGAACCTACAGACGTTTTTGAAGTAGGATATCCAAGGGCTTTTAAAAAGGAATCATCTAAAGATTTCATGAAAAGGAAATATGAACATAATAAAAATCTTTCATGCATTTTCAATCATTCTGGTATTTATATTCGTGCTATGTGAAGAACTGGGATTCACGAGCATAAGAAATATAAGCGTTACAACATTTTGAAGACTTCAAGAATAATCCTGTTGGCACCCAGTCTAAAGTTATTCCTTAATGTCTGCAAAAAGTGTAAAGCATCCTCTAAACTAAATTGTGTAAAGGAAGAAATGATCTCTCATTATTATCCTGGAAGATGGGGTGATGGTGTTGATGATGTTGTATTTACAGGGTTCCCTCTAGTTAAAACAATCTCATAAAACCTCTGCAAAGGTGCATGGCAGGCACACTGGTTCAAATGGGCCAGATTCCGTGGAAGAATTAGGTAAAGCAGACTGGATCCTGGAAACTTACCACGCCTTTTTCCCATATTACTGACATCCGGTCCTCAACACCATTCACCCCATTGGGAATCTTAGTAAAATCATCCTTTCCCAAAGCTTTCTGGCAAGTGTTGAAAGTACAATTGTCAGTCCCTGTTGTGCTTAGATCATCACTGAAAGAAAAACACAAGCGTGGTAGGGTGAACAGACAATGTCAGAAGTACCATCACCTTTCTTCATCTCCTGACTCCCTCAACTGACTCAGAAAACTCCAGTGGAAAACATATAATAGTTTTTCAGATACATATTTCACCCCATTCTTGTCTCTGTTAGGGTTAGTGTTTTCAGAAAAATACTCTTACAAGAAGCATGTTTAGGTCAGAAAAACTGGGTTCTGGGCTCCATCACTTACTGGTTCTGTGTTATGGGTAGGTCTGATGCTCAAGTTCTCTTTTAGACATTGATAATTATATGTATTTGATGATTACTATTTCAGAATGACAGGCACTAACATAAGTGAAGATTCCCTGGAGCAGAGCAGCAAGCAGAGATGAACTATGGTGATCCACAATGAACAGTGGCGGGTCCTCAAGGGCAGCTCCTGGTTAATTAAAGCATCGTGATGAGCAGAGATGTGATATTGCCTGTGAATATCAATGCCACCAGTGACAGGCAGACTAATTATGAATAATCTCAGGATTGTGGATGTGGGAAGGAAGAAGGAGCTGAAATGAAAGGCGAGTGAACGCACAACCTAGGTGGAAAAGATCTTTGTTAATGTGGATCTATCTGTGAATGGGGAATGTCAGCAAGACCATAATGGTGTAATTCTCAAGAAAAAATGATCACAATGCCCTAGAAAGTAGCATTTCTGAAATGATTTTGGGTGACTTTCATGGGGATAACCTGCTGGAGGGTACAATTTTGCCTTTCCCACCCCTGCATTAATTCTGTTGTACCTATGCAGCAGGCATATCTGGTTTCAGGTTATTGGAGCATAGGAAAAAATTCAAGAATATTGTGAATAATAAAATAAGGCGTAATGAAGAGACCTAGCTCTTGGCTAGAAAAGAGAAGGAAAAAACAGAGGAGTAAAATTTTCAGTAAAAATAATCTGATTTCTCCTTGTTCAGGAGAGGTTCTGGTCCCATATCATAACCTCATGAAAGCAATGCTTCTTGGTTTCCAGATGCAGGTCTCCCTGGGGCCTTTCAGATCAAGTAGAACAGAATATTGGGAGGTCACTGGGAGGACCATATGGTAAGAGAAGAGCTCCTCTACCTAAACCTAAAACATGTAAAACACTTGATTTGAGCAAATTATTTCACAATGTTAAATGCTTACTTAGCCAGTAGATTCATCAGGAAGTCAGGTGTTGAGGGATCTGGGCGCAGGGGTGGGCCCATCACATGGTGAGCTGCATGGTGCCAGTCTTTACTCCAGTAGTGAGTGCCATCAGTGCCAAGACCCGCTGCTATCGGCTCTCCATATACCACCTTCCCTGGAAAGTTCAAAGGAAGCATTCAGCACCTCAATTTGTTCTTAAGAGAACCATGTGACAAACATAAATATAAATTTTCTCTGTCCTAGCAAAGGATATCATGAATCCCAAACTGAAATTCACTTTTTGGGAACAGGATTTGAAAATAAAAACTACTGTTTACTGAGCATGTACTTGGCTCCTGTCAATGTCCATTGCCGGTTAGAGGGAGATGACTGAGCCACCCACTGGTCACCACATGGCTCACTTTGGCCAGTTAAATATGAATGGAAGTGACTTGTGCTGCTTCCAAGAGATTGTCCAGCCACAATGAGGTCTGCCACCCCCCTCCTCCCTCTTTCCTGAGACCAGCAGAGGCTGCTCCTTCAGTTGTATCTCAGAATGAAGAGAAAATGGAGCAGAGGCTCAGTCAACTCAAGATGAATGTGACTATGAGTGACAAAAAAATCTTGGTAGTTAGTTGTAAACCACTGGTATTTTAGATACATTTGTTATCAGAGCATATCCTAGCAAAAACTGGTTAATATATTTGTCATTCTTATGGAATCTTCTTGAAAACCCTTTCCAGGAAGTGATACTATTATCACCATTAAAAGATGAGGAGAAGGCTATGGGAGAAAATAACTCCTCCACAATGGAGGAGTCAGGATGGAATGGAGGGACAGGATCTGAATCCAGCACTTGGCCGCCGAGGATCCTAGGTTCTATGCTCTACTATCCTGATAACAAGGATCACAGTCACATGAAGTTCAAGTACAGTATACCTCTGTGGCAAATAGATCTTAAATCTTCTCATATACTTAATGAAAAAAAAAAACCCTTTCAAAACTTATATTAAATAAAAAGAGCATTCACATAAAGATTGTAGTCAGAAACACAGATTTAAAAAATCATGCAAATGAGCCCATCAAAAGCATACAATGTTAGAAAAGTTAATAGTGCCTAGTGAATTTGAATTTAAAATTAGAGTCCTGTCTCTGATTAGCATTTGTCAGAATAATAGATTCACTGCCCCACCTGATCGTACCTAAGCAGTCATAAAGGAGGGTGTAAGTAGAAGATGCTGGAATACCAAATTAGTTCATTCTGGTTAATGAGATACCAGATTTTAGTTAAAATCCTGATACATAACTGAAATTAAACTGATTTCCTCAGAGAACACAGTGGATGGCCTCCAGCTGCCTGAGTCATATTGAATTGGAATGTAGCACCCTATTATCTCACAGATCATTTCTCCCCCAAACAACGCACCTTCCTCTAGCTAGCCTAAGAAATTTGAAAAGCATGAAAGCAAAGCTTATTGGAGAAACTTTGCTTCTAAAGCAACCACATCTCAGAGGGTGGTCAATAAAGGTTATCCCTGACTTAGCCACTACTAAGCTCCTTCCCTTTCACGATGCACACAGGATAGTTGAATTCTGCCCTCCTTCTGTTTCTTCCTTTCCTCAGCCTGTAAAGGTGATACTACCTTTAGTAAAGGCAAAATACCTTTAATATCTCTATTATGTAGAACAGGTCATTTTTAACGTGAACTAAGAGGTAATGTACCATTTACTGAAGAAATAACAGGATGAACATGGTGTTTTATTTGCAGGTACGAAGAGACCTTTCTACTCCAAGAGAACTTCTCACAGATGCTTCGACAACAAGAAACTCAGAGACTTGATCAGCAATCACTTTACAAGTTGCCAACTCAGGATTTTCTCTGGTACGTCATCATAAAGGAAAGATCTTTATCACAAGTTCTATTCAATCACTTGGCCCATCAAGGTGATATGGGAATTCAGTTGCAAAAGTTTTTCAATTTTAATAGCTCTCAGGAAAAATTAAAAATATCAGCATGTACCAGGAGTCTGCCAGGAATGTTTTGAAACCAGATGACAGGTAATTTCCTTGGAAAAGCTTAGCTTTTTTACAATGTGACAGGACACGTTTCTGGTATCTACAATAAACTCTTTGTTGACTAGACTGCTTTCCACCATCTCCCGATTAAACTTATGTAGATATCAAAACATTTTTAAATGAAGAAGTAAAAGTTCCTAACACCACCTCCCCTCTTTCACAATGGTTCTAAGGCATTTTCAAGGCACTTAAAAGCATGAGAAGTCCAAAGAGGAAGGAAAACAGGGAAAATCCATTATTCGAACTCAGCATAATTGTGAATTTTGTTAGATTTGGGCTAAAATTAAAGTAGTAATAAAAAATAGCTATCAGGAATACCTTTCTATAGTTTGCAAAGTCCATATATCTCATTTGATCTTCACAGCAATCCTTATACTGGCTTGACAGATAAAGAAACAGAAACTTGATGAGACTAACTCATTTACCTAAGATACACAGGTAACTAAATGTTACACCAGAATCAGAATCCTAGTTTTTTGATATCATGTTGCATGTACTTTGTTACTCGGGGAAGTGTCATTTTTCATTTCTTGGTAAAGAGCTTGTATTTTTAAATGCCTAAGTCAACCACAGCTATTTGTGGATGTGGCTGAGCAATTTTCCAATTTCACTTACTGGTTTCATTTACTACAGTTAGCAGGTTGGTAATGAAAAGGGCTATATCTGTCCTCGTCTGGTACTCTCCTGATTACATTTGCGACCAGATGGTTTCAACAACTCTTGGGAGATAGTACATCTTCATCATTAATCTCCTCCCACTGTCTCAGCAAGTTTCACATTATGTTGTACCCTGTCTACCCATACATGTTTCGCTTTCTTTCTCCAGCATTTGGCTCCAAAACAAAAAGAGACTCTGTACTTATGATACAATCTCCCTCTTAAAGATTTGTCCTCTGAGAGATTCTAAACATTTCCAAATAATAAAGCCCCTCAACTAATCCAAACTCCCCCTCCTCAATCCCTCCCCCCAATGACAAGACAGACTTGTTTATTAGATGAAGGTGACAGAGATGTCAATTGTGTCTGGATCTGGGAAAAGCACTTAATCAAGTCATGGAATCTGTGGAGAAGGTTGAAAGATGCAGAGAAACTGGCATAGGTGCCCAGAAGTGGAAGCATTGGCTACCAAACACATTTATAAAAGTCTTTTTTCCTAACCAAAAAGAGACAGTGGAAACTTCCTGAGTACTGTGTTGATTCAAAATATTACACTTTCAAAGGAATAATTGATAAAATACATAGTAGCAGCAAAGAAGAGAGTAGATCACAGATTTAAGTTCAAATCCTGATACATTTGTTTTAATCATTGACTTTATGCAAGATGGCTCATTGCTCTCTGTTTTTTTCACCTATGAAATGAGTCACAATATCCCTCTCACGGCAGTTTTGTGAGGACCAAATAAATGAATGCACATAGAATTACTTTCCATCTTCTTGGGATCCTGGTGTCACCTTGTACTATATGCAGAATCCTGTCTCCCGATAAACTTCCAATGCAAAAGCCCCAACCCCAGGGTATCAGAATTTGACTGTATTTGGAGATAGGGTGGTTCATAGATGTAATCAAATTAAAAGAAGGTCGTTAGGGTGAGCACTAATCCAATGTGACTGGGTTCTTTGTAAGAAGAGGAAATGTGAGCAGGGACTTAAGCCAGAGAGTGGCCTGGAACACTTTTCCCACAGAGGTCTCAGAGGAAGCAGACCTGCTGGCACCCCGGTCTCGTGCTTTTAGCTTCCAGAATTGTGGAACATACATTTCTGTTGTTTAAGCCACCCGGTCTGTGCTACCCTTTCACAGAAGCCGTAGCAAACTAATATAATTCACAAATACCAGTTTCCTTATGGTTACATAATTCTATTTTAAAATCTGTTTTTAAATGGCCAGTTTTCAACATCTTAGCAATTGCTTATAAGATAAATCATCTTGTTCTAAATTTGAAGGACAAGGAGGTGTTCAGATGCTGGTACACACAAAAGAAAAAAGAAAACCTGAGATTCAGCTCCACCATGACTCAGGCACACGTGACTGCTTCCTTAGTAACAGTGCTGGTTACCAAGCTTCAGTTCAGCATACTTGGGTAAACTTGATTTGGTCTACTCTTCTTGCACACTAAAAAGGTTTTCTTGGAAATAAATATATGATTTATCCAAACAAAAATGTACTCAAAATTCAGGAGAAGTAAATGAAACTACTTCCTAAAATGTAGAGCTAAATTTAAAGTGCTTTTTCTGTGCCAAATCACATTACTACTATATTTATTAATATGATTAAAAAACAAAATGCAATGAAAATAGGAAAGGGAAGGACCACTGAATTGGAAGGTCTGGAGGTACCTGAAATTTCCTTAGCCATTACATTAATTGGGGAATTATCAATTACTCAAGCTTTGTAATTTAAAGTTTCCATGTTTAAATTTAGGCAAAGACACTTGCTTCTCAAGAACCATTATTAGAATGAAAAAACAAGGGAATGTAAACATTAATAAATTGGCCTTTTGTGGGCCAATTCCAGAGAATGGAGTAGCATCATGGTTTTTTTAAAAATAAAAATAGTTAAAGGACATAAAGGATTAATTCAACAGCTATGATGGGGGAGTTTCAGGAGAAGGAAGGAACAAGAAGGTTAATATGAAGGAAATAACAGAAAACATTTTTCAAAGTTGAATCTTCAGATTGAAATAGGCCTCTGATGACAAAGTTGAATTGTTTAAAGGCCTACTGCTAAATATAATCTTAATGAAATTTGCAGACTTCAAAAATGAAGGGGAAATACAAATATCTTCCAGTTGGTGAAAAAAGTTAGTGACAAAAGGATAAGAATGTTGTTGGTATTTGTCTGCTCAGCAGTAGCACTGGATGCCAGAAGAGAATGAAATGGCACCCTTAAATCCAGAGGAAATGACTCTGAACCTAGAAATCTATGCTTATTCAGGTCTCCAAACCTGAGGTCAAGGAATCAGAATATTTCCTTAAAAAAAAAAAAACTACCTGGGAATATTGTAGATAATTCAAAAAGGGGTAGATAGGGAAACCAAGCTACAGAGCATCCAAGTTAGGGTGCTGTGAAAAGATATGGTGGGGTAGCATCTCACAGCATCCCTGAAGAGCAATTACCAAAAATAAAACAAAATCAGAAGTTTCTCCTTCTCAAAAGAATCCCTGCAAGAAATTCTTACAGGGACCTGATTCTATTCAATAGATGTAATGAAGAGCTGGGAAATCGTCATGATATGGTAATGAAGGCACATGTTTCTTTGCTGAACCTATTTTTAAAAGAGCTCATTGGAAAAGTTCCAGGAAAAACAAAAAACTTTACAAGGCAATAATGGTCTAAATAGGTAGCAAATTAAAACAAGGTCTGCAGAGATGCTTACTGGAGTACAGGCAAGGAAACCTACTTGACCTTGACACTTGGCAATTGCTCCTCCAAGAGTTAATTTTAATAATGTGAGCTTGTGGGGCCTCCCTGATGGCGCAGCGGTGTAGTGCTGGGGTGCAAAGCTGCCTGCAGCCTCTGCAGCACCGGTTCGATCCCTGGCCACCGGGCGAGGGTCCCACATGGCGCGCAGACCTCTCCTGCCGCCCGCTGCTCCCATCAGCAGTGTACTTTGTCAGTCTGCCTGCTCTGCTCTCCCCTCTGGCTCTGGTGAATTCTCTCACCCTCCCGTGCTTCTGACTGTACCCAGTGCTTGTATAAATAAATAAATAAACAAATCTTAAAAAAAAAAAATGTGAGCTTGTGCTCACATTGGTGCAAATTATAATATGAATTATTCCAGGGCTCCCTTCTCACTATTTGTTTCTACAGAGAATACTTCCACAGTCTAATGTTGTAACAGTTCTAAACTTTAGACTTAATCTATAGACTAAGCATGGAAGACCTACCTATAGTTACAGAGTCAACTGTAAATGCATTATCCCTGTTGGCATAAAGATAATATAGTTGACAGAAGTCAGGAGAAGTCAGAGAAGATAATGCAGGATCTCTAAATTCCTTTTCGACCTAGTAGAGAATGAAGAGATACCACTAAAAATAATAGTATGAACCATACAAACCAAAGTACATTATTCAAGGTGACAGTTACCATTCACGAGACTGAGGAGGTGAGAGGTAAGATTTACATGAGCTAATATATCTATTATCATAGTTGGGGAATTGAGATCTACTCTCAAAAATTTTAAGTCACTACCTATAAACTAATGGTTGAGAATTTTGAGGCAATCACCAAACTAAAAGCTAGATATGGCTAAAAATGGATGGTTCCAAAGACTGAGCAGAGGGAATTAGAAGATATCTACTTTCATTTAATACATTCTTTATCACTTCCATTCCTGACATGTGTTCCTTTTAAAAATGATAAAAAAAAATAACATGTTGATAAAGTTTTATATCAGTGTCTTAAATGGAAGGCTAAAAAAACCCCCCAATTAAGTATAAATTTGATACCATCATCCCCTACTTCCTCAAGCTGATTTTTTGAATGGAGTAGAGAGTAATGGGCAAAAATAGGGCTTTGTTGACCATCTGGACCTGAGCTTGAATTCCAGGTTTAGCATTAGTAGAATGTCTTAGGCTTAATTTACCAAACTTTCCCAAGCCTCAATTTCATTAGTCACAAAACAGCGATAAAATTTGGCTTGAAATATTGTTATGACAATTTAAAAAGATAACGTATATTACAATACATTGATGAGATAATATATAGTGAAACCTGAAATGAGATAAGATATATTAAAAGATGAGCCAGGTACATATTAAGCACTCAACAAACAATGTTCGTTGTTATAATCATTAACCCTCATGTTGCTCTTTTTTGGGTATGTAGTTGGCAGCTCAACTGTAAAATCAAACGTAATAGCATTGTATTTCTAAGCTACTACAATAGAGACAATTAACAATAAGATACCTTTTGTGTCTCATGGAGCTGCGATTCTCAAACTTTAATATGCATATGAATCACCTGGAACTTTATGCACATTCTATTCAGTACATCTGGGATGGGATCCAAGGCTCTGCATTTCTAACAAGCTCTCAGTGGATGTTCATGCTGCATTCTAGGGACCACAATGAGTGGCAGAGTCCTAGGGATAAAATGAGCTGGCTGAGGCATTTACAGATAGGAAGCATTCATATGATAGATCTGGAGGACTGAATTGCTTCTTATTTAAATCATCTAACAGTGAATAGATTTGTATTTTTCTTTTATGTTCAGAAATTAAGTTAGGTAATAAATGAGTGCATTAAGGGTAGGGGAATTTTCTGTAAAATGTCAGTATCCTCCACCAGCCCTCCTTGCTCCAACCTCCCCGGGGATCTGCCCTTGGATTTGCTGACTCCTTCACCATGTTTCTACTGGGTCACATGAGAGGAATCAAATGTTGGGGTGGGAAATTGCTCATGCTAATTTATTCTGGAAGTTTGCTGCCTCTTTGACACTCATGCATTAGAGTATTTTCACAAGTACTATTATAATAAGTCTGACTCAACTAGAACATTTGGGATGACATTTAAACATTTAACATTCCATATTTACAGTCCCTTTAGAAAGGAATTTAGCAATATCCAAAAAGGATACATGCATTTACTCTGACCCAGCAATCCCATATCTAGGGTCTTCTGTTCTGTGAATATCCTGCAGAAGAATAACGGTGTCTGAAAGCTGCCCATGCCTTACTCCCCCTAACTGAATATGTCACCCTACCTGGCAAAAGAGATCACACCGATATGATGAAATTAAGGACCTTGAGTTAGAGGCATTAACATGGATCAATCAGATAAACTCAATGTGACTCAAGGGTCCAGAAGTGAGAGGCAGAAGGGAAGGTCAGAATAATACAATTCTCTCTGCCACCATTGGTGACTTCGAAGGTAGAGAAAGGGGACATGAGTTAAGGAATGTGGGTAGTTTCTGGGGGTTGAAAAGGCAAAAGGAAGGGGGTTCTCTTTTACAGCCTCAGGAAGGAACATAGTCCTGCCAGCACCTTGGTTTGAAACCAGCTTAAGACCCATTTCAGACTTCTAACCTCCAGATCTGTAAGATAATAAATTGGTACTGTTTTAAATGACTAACTTTGTGGTAATTTATTAGAGCTGCAACAGAAAACTAATGCACCTTCCATATAGGAACTAGCATAGGCATCAGGTCATCACTGTGGTTTCATTTGTTATGAAGACTGGAAAAAGAAAAATTCCTCACTTATATGAGGAATGTAGGGAAACCAAATAAAGGATCAGGAAAAAATAATTATAATAAATTAAAAAATTAAAATTAACAGGCAACTATGAATCAGAGACATCTGTGGGGGAGGAGTAGGGAGAGGGATCAAAATCAGAGGGAAGAGCGCAAGGGACTATGGTGATGGTGCACAGGTGAACTGGTGGTGGGAATTTTACAGGGACTACACCCGAGAGGAGAAAGCATACATTGTACAAAAAAATATACTGGAAACAACCCAAAAGTCCATCAGTAGGGGGCCAGTTGAATAGAGTGGTATGTTCTGCACCTGTAGTAAAAAAGAACAAGGAAACTCTATACCTATAGAAGCTGACCTTTGCAACATATTTTCATGTAGGAAAAAGAAAAGGCATGATATAGAAGCTTACCTATAGTATTTTATCTTTTGTGTATGAAAGAGAGGGCATAACATACAGCCTTCTTGTTTTGTAAAGATAAACACTGTAGATGTAGGACAGAAATACAGTGATACAAAAATTACCTATAGAGAGTGGAATAAAGGAACTAGAGAATGAGGTAAGACTTTTCAGACAATATATTTTTTATATATAATTTTGACTTGTTGCATGGAAATAGTCCATCTTCAAAAATTAAAAATTAATTTACAAATAATTTAAAAGAAAATTTAAATGCCCACACTTTCATTTAATAGCTCAAACTGTAACTTGCATTCTAAAACCTTCCCTAAGCTTTTACACAGCTCCTCATGGAATTCTATCCAAATTCAAAATAAATACCCAAGATCGAGTAACCGCTTCCTGACAGAACTGTCAAAATTGTAGTTTGCTGCTGGGTAATGATGGGCCATTTCTGCTGATTTTGTGGTTTCTAAAATCATATTCTGACATTATGGACCTGACTGACGGGCTATACGGCATGATGCATGAATTATAAAGCAAATAATAGAATAACTGATTCCATAGGGTTGACAACAGAGACATCTAGTGGCCAGAAACAAATACTACAACTTTAAAACTGCAGTATTTCCCTTTTGAAATACTGCCTCTTTCTAGACCGAAATTCTGTTCTAGCTGAGGAAAATTAATCAGAAATGGTTGGTAGTAAGACAATTTGGGATTAAAAAAACCTTTCCAAATATGAACATAATTGTCATAAAATACTGTTTGGACAATTACTTCAATTACTCCAACACCCAAGTTGTAGTCAGATAGATCAATTCAATTCTAAAGAAATTCGTTGAGCACCTATTATGTACCTGCACCACCCTGACTCATGTGTGGTGAGAATTATAGAGATTATCCCTAAAATCCAGAGAAAATTCTTTGAAGCTCACGGGAGAGTTTGCATTTAACCATCAGATTAAAAGGTGGGCCGCCCTGATGTTAAGGGTGGGGACTACTAGCAGCAAGGAAATGTTCTAAGGATGGGAAAGAAGGAAGCTGAAAGGAGAGAAGCAGGCATGAACATGAAAAGGAGGGCAAAAATAAACATGTAAAGAGATAGAATGAAACAGAAAGCTAATAAAAGGGGAGTAAGAAAAGCTGTGGAAATTCATAGGCAACTAGATTCTTACAAGCCCAAGCAGAGGCTGCATCAATTTTACCTTACTCTTTAGCTCATTCTGACTTAAAAGTGAGCGTAGCATTCAGGAATTACCATCTCTCCTTGCATCTGCAACCACCTTGGCAGCTGACTTGCTCATCACATGCACAACGTAGAGTGGGCAGTTGGCAGCACTGGCTATGGTGACAGCTCTCTGCGTGGCCTCTGCCTCCACGGCTTCTGGGCGGCACATCTCATGGCCCTCGGGGCCTGTTATTCCCAATGCCAACATCTTCTTTGCTCCCTAAAAACAGCAACAGAAACACCCACTTAAGTAAGGAAGCTTTACTAATGCTGACTGACGATGGTCATCGTTACTAATGGTAACCATGGTCCATCGAAACCCAGCAGCAAACTGCAATTTTGACAGTTCTGTCAGGAAGCACTTACTCGATCCTGGGTATTTATTTTGAATTTGGATAGAATTCCATGAGGAGCAGTGTAAAAGCTTAGGGAAGGTTTTAGAATGCAAGTTACAGTTTGAGCTATTAAATGGAAGTGTGGGCATTTAAATTTTCTTTTAAATTATTTGTAAACTAATTTTTAATTTTTGAAGATGAACTATTTCCATGCAACAAAAGTCAGAATCATATATTTTATTGTGAAGTATAATAAATACACTGCCATAGATCTCTTAGGTGAAAGAGAGAGAATATGAGAGAGAGAGCGCGCGCGTGCGTGCGCACGTGCTCAAACACAGTATGTGTATTTGATTAAAAGTAACTATTTCAGGCCTCCTGGTGGCACAAGGAATTAAGCACTGCACTATGAAGCAATCTGCAGCCTCTGTAGCAAGAGTTCAATCCCCTGCCTACCAGGGAGCAACCCACATGGCACTGCTCCCCTCAGCAGTGTATTTCGGTCAGTCGGCCTGTTCTGCTCTCCACTCTGACTCTGGTGAATCTTCTCACCCCCTGCATCTCTGGCCTGTACCCCAGATCTTATATGCATGAATACAATATTGTATGTCAGTTTTCCATATATATTAAATTATATAATTTATATACAATTATATAATTTATATACAATTGTATAATTTATCTATAAATTATAAACTTCTAATTTTTATAAATTAAACCATATAATTGAATTATTTTGATTGAAAAGATCAAAATGATGAGGTTAGTTGTAATCACATTCTTTAAAAAGCAGTATGTGTTGAAGAGTCATGATTGGTTCAGAACAGTTTTATTTATTTTTTTATAGAGGCATGTTTTATTTATTTGTTTGTTTGTTTATACACGCACTGGGTACAGTCAGAAGCACGGGAGGGTGAGAGAATTCACCAGAGCCAGAGCAGGGAGCAGAACAGGCAGAAGGACCGAAGTACACTGCTGAGGGGAGCAGCGGGCGGCAGGAGAGGTCTGCGCGCCATGTGGGACCCTCCTCTGGTGGCCGGGGAGCAGCCGGGGATCGAACCAGCGCTGCAGAGGCCTCAGGCAGCTTCGCAACCCAGCACTCAACCGCTGCGCCACCGGGGAGGCCCCCAGAACAGTTTTATAGAAAGGATTCTAATCCCCAACATTAGAATCTTGCTGAAATTATTATATTAAATCATGTAATGAGCTTCATATTTCACTGAATCATAGTTTTCATGTCTCCTCTCCCAGCCCTCCAACTGATATTGGACCAGCTATGTCCCCTCTCTAAAGTTTTATTTCTTCCTTATGAAAAGAAAAGGAAGTCAAGACTCAGACTGGAAAAATGACTTGTCACCCAGCGAGGAAGTGGAAGACTCAATTTTAAACTCTGGTCTGTTTGGGTTTACAGCTCATCTCTCTTCTCATTATCCCCTCTGCCTCTTGGCCACTGAGCCTCAATCTCACTGCCTTTAATGGGAACTGAGCCTAGGGAGAGAAAACATCAGCTAATAAAAAGGGTAAGTACAGCTCTTTAAATCTTGCAGATGGTATACCCTTCAGGCACCTATAATGAAACTAACATGAGAGATAAATATCATCCAGATTCCTCCAGAGCACTTTTTAATACCTGGTTTCTGAAAAGAGTGGGGCTGTGAACAGCTTCCCAACACGATGCTGATGACATCAATTATGCTGCTGTTCACATGTTGGTATTCTGAACCAGCAGCCTGAGCTACCAAAAAACAGCACTGGGATATACAAAGTATTTGCATTTTATAATAATACATGTTTGAGATCTAATAGCTGGTTTGAAAACAGGAAATCCTTATTCCAATGCATATACTGCCCAGATGAAACTAGAACAGGGACTTAAGTAAATTGAGTCAAGTGTTTCCACGCCAGGCCACAGAAAATGTGTTTATTCCAATGCAATTAGTGAGTTTGCCTGCTAGGACTGACAGGTAAACTCTTAAGTGATGGACCATCTCTTAAGTGATGGCTGTTTTCATTTCTGTAGGAGCTTTGGAATGCCCATGCTTACCTCTACAATTAGGTCTCCGTTTTCTGCGTGGACCTGAGCGATCGCTCCAATATCTTTGCACTGAGAGAAGGCCGCATACAGCTCCTGGTCCCCTATCATGTACACATCTTTATAGGCCATAAACATTTTGAAAGAGTTTACACCTTTATCTTGGGTAAGGATTTTCATTTCTTCTTTAACCTACAAGAGAACAACAACAACAAAATATCACTCTTTAAATGGTAATTTCAAGATTCTCCAAATTTGTTGCATTTAGAAGAGAATAAAGTAAAAGACAACAATCTAATTCCCAAGAAATGCAATTAAGAACTTGATCTTTCTCCCAGATTAGACCTCATTTCATTTGATGAGTTGCTGCTGCTATAACTTTTAAATTGTGCAATAGTTTTCTCCAAGTATTTCATTTCTATACTTGGGTATAAAATTCTCAGCATCTATCTACTGCCATGAGGAAATTATTCTTGAGAATGGAAAAAAAGCCATTTGGTAGCAACAGAAGCAATGTCTCTAGAAGCAATCGAGGCTAATGAGAGATAAGGATCAGACTTTAAGGATGACTTCTTAGGCAAAACACATGATGCAAATTGACCCAATTGGCATCTCCTAGGAGGGGAGAGACCCCTGCACCTATCAAAATCCTCAGGGCCTTCAGATTGCCAAAGGCAAGGGGAAAGCTCAGATCAAAACTATCTTAATAATGGCCCCTGTATGTCCAATTCAATTCTCAACAAGGGCTAAAATTTCAAAGGAAAAATCAGAAGATATGACTAAATCAAATTGTCAGAACTTCTATAGGTTAAAACACACAAAGGCATATACTAAAAAGCAAAAATATAAAGAAATAAAAATATGTAACAGGTATAAAACTATTGCTTTTAGTTCATAAAATCTCACCTTAATAAGGAAACCTCTAATATTCCAGGTGAAACATTACCAATATTTCAATGGGAACTATAAATGACTATTAAACATGAAAAAAAGTTAATCTTCCTACTAATTAAAAAGTGCAAAATAACACAATGTCATGTTTTCTATTGAGTCAGCAAAGATCTGAGATGATAGATGCACAGAGTAGGTCTGCAGAACAAAAAAACAGTATTACATATTGAGCTCCCCATTTCCATTGCTGATTAATCCCACACTAGTTTTTCCATAGTTTTCCCTAGGGGGCTGTAGCAGCAGGATGGCACAGAGCAGGACTCTATAATTGGGCAGATGGGTGAAGGAGGAGTCCTGGAGCCCTTGGTGGCTTTACAGGCTTTTATTGGGATTTTACCAGGTACACGGCAGGCAGTGGTGTGTGTGTGGGGGTGGGGGGCCAGGAGGCTAGTAGGCCTCCTAGCCCCCAGCGAATCTTCACTCTTTCTGGGCTCTCTGGTGTTCTCTCGTGGCCTCTGCTTCTCTGCTGGTTCTCTTCCGTCTCTGGCTTGTTCTCCTTCTGGTCTCTGCTGGCGTCCCCGTGACGCCCTCATAAGCCCAGTCTCTCAGCCCAGGTGCACCCACCTACGCTTGCCCACACCCTACTCCAGGTGCCCGCCATCAGGCATGCATTCAGGACTTCAGGGATCCATCATCAATTCTAATGGTGGGAGGACAGAAAAGCCTGACAATTATTTACCCTACACTACCCTAGACCTATTGTCATGGGCTGATTTGTATTCCCCCCCCCCCACCACAAATTCGTATGTTAAAGTCCTAACCCCCAGTAACTCAGAATGTGACCTTTTGGAAACAGGGTTATCCTGGATGTAATTAACTAAGATGAGGTCATGGAGTGGGCCCTGATTGCTGTCTTTCTGAAGAGGGGAAATTTAGAGAGATATGCACCACGTGAGCACCAGGTGAAGATTCTGGTGATGATTTGATAAATCAGGGAACACCAAAGATGGTCAGAAGACTACCAAAACCTTCTCTACTGAGAAGCATGCAGCCGATTCACCCTCCTGGCACTCAGAAGAAACCAACTCTGCCAAAACCTTGATCTTGGACTTCTAACCAAGATGATGAGAAAATAAATTCTGTTGTTTAAGCAACCCTGAAGGTGGTCCTTTGTTACTGCAGCCATAGTCTGCGTTTTAACATTCGTCAGATTTACTCATTGTGTATTAAAGTGTGAGTGGCTCTGGTAACAGCAATTATCATCATCTTTAATTTATCTTAATAAAATAAGAGAGACAGGAGAAGAGCAAAGGAGGAAAAAAAGCCCTAAAAGCAAAAAGAGATCAGATGCATCAGTTCTTATGGCATTTTTAGAGAAAAATTAACTTTACCTGTGGACTATAAACCTTGCTATTATGTTTGCTGAAATACCTGTTAAAGATTTATTTCTTGTTGTATATTCACTCGGCTTATAAAACCCAACTTTGGTGGGGGGGGGGTGCAAACATAACGTTACAGAGTCACTTCAAACAAATCTTCCTGAATTAAGTCCAGTGTGGAAACATGTTGACTGAAATCACGAGTAAAAATTGCTCCCATGTTACAGGTACATTTTTACAGGGAGAGATGAACATACCGTAACATCTGTCAAAATTGTCTTTTCTACCCAAACCAGGTTATCATTTCTACTATAGCAGAAAATTAGTTTTAGGTCTTTTACGAAATGACCCCACCAGGTCCAGGAGGGGCACACGTAGCTGGGACAAGGCCTTGAAAACCTTCCCAATCTGTCCCTTCCTTTGTCTTGCAGCACATATTGAACATTTTTTTTTTTTTTCATATTGAACATTTTGAATTGAAGTGCTAACATGAGGAAAAATACTGTCTAAAACAGTTTGCTGACGTTGAAGTAGAGAGAGAACAGTACTGTTGTAAGGGGCAGGACAGGGCACAAGGCAGGTTTTCTGATCCCATGCAGATCGGGTAAAGGAGGAGTCAGAGTCCTCAGTAGTTTTGCAGGTTTTTTATTTGGGGTTCACCAGGCATATGGCAGGCAGGGGTGCTGGCTGGGGGGCTGGGAGGCTGGCAGGCCTGCCAGCCTCCCAGCCCCCAGCAAGTCCTCACTCTATCTGGGCTCTCTAGCGTTCGTTCTGCTGCTTCGCGGCTGCTGCTGCTGCTGGTGCTGCTGGCGTCCCCCCGTGACGCCGCCCTTAAAAGCACAGTCTTAGCTCAGCTGAATCCCATCTACCTATGCCCACACCCTATTCCAGGTGCCCGCCATCAGGCATGCATTCAGGACAAGGATCCATCATCTATCCTGATGGCGGAAGGGCAGAAAAGCCTGATATTTTCTTTACCCTACAGTCCACCCCCTCAGGGTTTTCTGCCATACAGTCTATACATATATACACAATTTTCTAAGCAAACAAACAATGCAGCCATGGCCCACAAAAGCAAATACATCAAATAACAAAATACAACATAACAAAATACAACAGAACACAAATAAGTCCAGGCAGGGCACCAACCAAGTGCAAAAGACAATTATTGGTACCAGCAGATGAGCCACCAAATCTGCTGCCGAAGGCACTGCTCATACGAGGGAGGGGAAATCACACACGGTATCTGCTATAACACACCAGGAGCCGTCAGGCTTCCTGGCCTTCTCTGGCTGTAGTCTCGGCACAAGGCACACACAGCATCCACCCCCAGGATGCACTAGCTCTGGGATTGGCAATTTTATTCTGTTGGGGGTAATCGCCAACCCTCAGGGTTTCTGTCTGCAGTCGCTCCAACACTCGGCCTTCATGGCCACCCATGCGACTCACAGACCCCTGCTCTCAAGCCAACCCACTGCACAAGCACATGGGTTGGGGATCCAAACTTTGCATTTGGCTTGGGCTCCACCCCAAGCCACATTTCCCACCCGTCCCCCAAGGACGGGCTCCTCAGCTCCTCACCCTCACTCAAGAATGAGCAGGGCATCACCCATAGGTGATTTTACGAGACTCACAGGGCTTCAGCATACCCAGGCTGCTTAACAGCCGCTTTAGGGCTTCTCAACTTAGCATCAGTACCAGCTTTTGCCACCTTAGTTGGCTTTTCTCCTCCACCTGGCCACTGGGCATACACAGGCTGCTTTTGGCCATCTAGGCCCACTGGCCACCCCCAGATTCTCAAAAAATAAACATAACCTGCTAAGGTCCTCCGCCTTCTGGCGGGATTGTCAGTCCAAAATCATCAGTTCATCAGTCTATCAGTCCTTTGGCCTCTCCCTGCTTCAGCAATGGCCTGCTGCCTCAGGGGTCATTGGCTGGTCCTTTCCGGTGTCGTTGGCTGGTCCTTTCCGGTGTCGTTGGCTGGTCCTTTCGGGCGTCTCCTTCACGCCAGGTCTCATCCTATAGCTCGTGGACGTATCCATCTTCTATACCGCCATGGTGCCTCCAGCGTCGTCACAGGCAAAGTCTGTTCTCCTTAGTCCCTCCAGGTCTTCGGAGGGCTCCAATACCCGTCTGCATGGATCTTGCCGACATACGCCAATTGTAAGGGCAGGACTGGATACAGTGCAGGTTTTCTGATCCCATGCAGATCGGGTAAAGGAGGAGTCAGAGTCCTCAGTAGTTTTGCAGGTTTTTTATTTGGGGTTCACCAGGCATATGGCAGGCAGGGGTGCTGGCTGGGGGGCTGGGAGGCTGGCAGGCCTCCCAGCCCCCAGCAAGTCCTCACTCTATCTGGGCTCTCTAGCGTTCGTTCTGCTGCTTCGCGGCTGCTGCTGCTGCTGCTGCTGGTGCTGCTGGCGTCCCCCCGTGACGCCGCCCTTAAAAGCACAGTCTTAGCTCAGCTGAATCCCATCTACCTATGCCCACACCCTATTCCAGGTGCCCGCCATCAGGCATGCATTCAGGACAAGGATCCATCATCTATCCTGATGGCGGAAGGGCAGAAAAGCCTGATATTTTCTTTACCCTACAACTGTTTAAAAATACATTTAAAATATTTACAATTCATGAATTAAATAGCAGTGAACGCTATTGAGATTGAGTATGATGGATTTATCCTATCATCTTTATATGCTTTAATTTTTGTTTTTAAAATGGGTAATATTTCGGGCCTCCCCTGGTGGCGCAGGTGGCTGAGTGCTGCGCTGTGAAGCTGCCCGCAGCCTCTGCAGCGCCGGTTCATTCCTGGCCAGCAGCGAGGGTTCCATATGGTGTGGCAGATCTCTCCTGTCACGCCCGCTGCTCCCCTCAGCAGTGTATTTCGTCAGTGTAGGGTAAGGTAAAAGGTATCGGGCTTTTCTGCCCTCTCGCCATCAGGATAGATGATGGATCCTTGTCCTGAATGCATGCCTGATGGCGGGCACCTGGAGTAGGGTGTGGGCATAGGTAGATGGGATTCACCTGGGCTAAGACTGTGCTTTTAAGGGCAGCATCATGGGGACGCCAGCAGAAGCAGGAAAGCAGAGGAGCAGAGAAGCAGAGAGAACATGTGAGAACGTCAGAGAGCCCAGGAAGAGTAAAGACTTTCTGGGGGGCTGGGAGGCTGGCAGATTACCTGCCCTGGCACCCCTACCTGCCATATACCCAGTAAATCCCAATAAAAGCCTGCAAAAGCCACCGAGGACTCTCTAGGACTCCTTCTTTACCCTGTCTGCTGGATCAGAAAACCTGCTCAGTGTCTTCCTGACCCTTACAATCAGTCTGCCTGTTCTGTTCCCCGCTCTGTCTCTGGTGAATCCTCTCACCCTCCCGTGCATCTGGCCTGTACCCTGGTTCTTGTATAAATAAATAAAATAAATCTTTTTAAAAAAGGATAATATTTCACAGGATTCAAAATTCAAAAGGTACAAGAGAATATGCAATGAAATGTCAGGAGGGAATTTTGACTCTGACTTCCAGTCATCCAGGAAGCATCCAGGACTCTGACTTCCAGTCATCCAGGAAGTTACCAGTGTCTTAGGTGTTGGTATTATCCTTTTTTTGGATCTAGTACAGAGCAAGGGCACAGGGACTAAATGAAGAGATGGGAGCAGGTAGCTCACCTGGTCACTCCACCATGTCACGGCCACGTGGAGGCTATAGTCACAACAGACTTTGGGGTCAGCCCAGCCCCTCCAGGTGTCGAAGGCCTTGATGAGGGAGCTGCCTTTCTGAGGAATGGCAAAGTCAATGATCATGGTGGTGCCTCCTGCCAGGGCAGCCTGGAATCATAAGACGGTTTCAACAGGTTCAGTCATCCATTTCCTAGTAGGTCATTTATCTCCTTGAATAACACGCACTGGCAAGCACGTAGGTAAACCTGGCATGTCCAGGAAACCACAAAGATGCTGCCCATTTAAAGGGAAGCATAAATAGACTTTCCTGAAATTAAACTTGGGGTCTTAAAGCTTCTAGAACTGCTTCTATAAAAAGAATGCCTGTCTGATGAAAAGAAAATGGTTACAAAGAGAAACCAAAATGGAAAAGTAGGGAAAATTCAAAACAGTTGCACCTTAAGAAAATGCTCTTCATTATTTTGAAATCCCAATCCCTGAGAGGGGGTCTTGGTAGTTGTGTTTCTAATGCCCTGAGATCCAGGAATCCTGGTAGACTCACGTGATTCCTGTCCCTTCATTCCCCACAGCAACTGATGACCCCTTAGTCTTTCCTTACTTCCTCTCTGTCCCCCTGCTCCATTCCCTCTGCTCCCGTCTTAGTTTAGACTCTTGTCATCCTTCCCCTTGATCTTCATGCCTCCAGTTTTGACCCCACTCTTGCCAACACAAGCCCCTCATTGCACTAGAAGGCACCACACAACGCAAACGTGACCACTTGACTCCATATGTTAGAACCAAATGCTTCTTACAGCCTCTGGAATGAAGTTTAATTTTCTTTACATGGTCTACAAGGCTCCCTGAATCTGCCTCAACTCTTATATTCTCCTTGTGGTCTCCCCAAAAAGGTCAGACAGGCTTTTCTCAGTGTGTCCAGAGGAGGCCCCTTGTCAACTTGGCATAGAAACTGAGGTCAGTGGAAGCCCTGTGAGCCTCAGGAGGCCTATGACCAGTGCCGAATGAATGCGGATTGTTCCATGGTACCAGCCATGAAGGTCCTGATGGCTAGAAAAATCTTCTCTCCCGGCTTAAGCCCTGGATTCTTCCCTAATCCGGGAAGAGATGGAATGCTAAGCTTGGTCCCTTTTCCTAATCAGAGAAGCAATCACTGTTCCCTTTTTTATGACCTTAGAGAATGAAGGGTCTCACCCACTTGTAGGGTTATCAGTGAACACGACCTCCATGTCTAAGAATCTCATCTCTACTCTCAGAGTAAGTATGAGGGAACTTCTAATCTGTCATGTAAAGTAACCCCTTCTCCCACCTTCTTGATGCCCCAGGTCCCTAAATGCAGGATTAACATTCCTGGTCCACTCCATTATTCTCTAGAATTTACAGGCACATATATTCTCTGTAAGTATGTTATTAAATTGATTGTGTTTCCATTGCTAACCCTTGCTCATCTGATGCTGTTTTGATTATTCATCCTGGCCTGAGAACTAAGAGGGGAGCGGGACCATTTCTTTTGCACCCTGACATTGAACTAGATTATATTACATTATGAATAGTTTAAAAACTAAGTTCCTTAGTCAAGGGTCTTTGAATAATTATTGAAGTTGATTTTATTTAAACTACAATCACAAGGTGTTAATATGTTGTTAACTACTGTGCTCAGGCAACCCGGGTACAGAAAACAAACACAGGCAGAGCGATAACTAGGTTCGTAACTAGGGCCGTGGTGAAGGATTTGAGGGAAGACTCGTAACTTCCACCCTCCCGTGCTCTCTCCCTCCTCCCTAGATCCTCCTCTACCCTCCCTCTTCCCCCCTCCAGCCCTTCCTCTCCTCTCTCCTCCCCGCCATTTCTTCTCCCTCCCTTAATCTTCTCACCTTCTTCTTAAAGTGTCTTCCCAGTGTGACACTGAACACAGCCATCCCTTGGGGATGAGGGACATTTTTTTCTACTAGTAAATACTGTTAATTAAAGTGGTAGAAAAAAGTACTTTTAAAATGTCTACTGAAGGCCTCCCCAGTGGCGCAGCGGTTGAGCGCTGGGTTGCGAAGCTGTCCGCAGCCTCTGCAGCGCCGGTTCGATCCCCGGCTGCTCCCCGGCCACCGGAGGAGGGTCCCACATGGCGCGCAGACCTCTCCTGCCGCCCGCTGCTCCCCTCAGCAGTGTACTTCGGTCCTTCTGCCTGTTCTGCTCCCTGCTCTGGCTCTGGTGAATTCTCTCACCCTCCCGTGCTTCTGACTGTACCCAGTGCATGTATAAACAAAAGAAACAAACAAATAATAAATAAATAAATAAAGCATGCCTCTATTAATAAAATGTCTACTGAACTAGAAAATCAAGATTTTTTTTTTTCTTTTTCCAGGGGAGAGCACGAACGCAGTCCCCCCCTCCACCACAAATTATGCAGTCGAGTTTCCCACATTTGGGGAAATCACAGGGGTCAGCACATGCGAGTGCAGTGGATAAGCCTCACCCTGGGAAAACCACCCTTGTGATCCTGGTATCGCTCCTGTCAGGTAAGTATGAAAATCAAGCCGAAAGAACGTGTCTTCCCATTCTTCCACATGAAAGACCTGCCGCATGCAGCATGTAGGGCAACTAGATACAGTGCTGGGGGGACACACACCACTTAGAATGAACCAGGAGCAGAAGAGAAACCACGGTTCTTTGTTTCTTCTTGTTGTGTTTCTTCTCACACTCCCTTCTCTCTAGTCTTCAAAATGCGGATAAATTTAGAGAAGCTCCAGGGAGCGGGTAAGGAGAGCTGGGGCCAGTAAGGACAAAAGGATGAGACACTGTGTCCACCTTTTCCCAAGCCCTGGGCATTAGCCACTTGCGACAGGGGGCGCAGAAAAGCCCCTGAGCCCTGGGGAGCACCCAGGCTCTGCCTGGGCCCCAGCCTCCTCTGGGAGCCTTTTCTTCCTCTTGCCTCTTTTTTTTTTTTGTGGGCCCCTTGCCGGTGGCCGGGGAACGAACCGGCGCTGCAGAGGCTGCGGACAGCCTGGCAACCCAGAGCTCAACCGCTGCGCCACCAGGGGAGGCCCTCCTCTTGCCTCTTAAGGACTCTTTGGTCACCAGAGCCCTCTGGCTCCCAACATTATTTCAGATTCCTGAATAGTAGCTCAAGCTCTGAAATGTTTCCTTCTTTCCACTAGGTCTAAGGAGCCAAGGCTGTAGGTCTGTAATCCCTATGGGAGTGGACCCCCAGACTCACTTATCAACATTCATTAGGATTTACCGAACATTCGAGGAATGAAGAGAAGGTAGGTGAATTTTTTTCATATTTCTACATGAAACCTAATTGTTTTCTCTTTGTTTTTGCTGATTGTCTTTGCTCTACTTTTATTTGTCAGTTAGCCAAACAAAATACATTTACCTTTTCTGATCTTGGCTCATAAATCAATCCCTTCAGCTCCTAATTATTTTGGCTGTTCTCCCTTGAAAACTTTCCAATTTATCTAAAACTTGCTTTTTGGGGAAGGAGAACACATGCTATCTCAGGGCAAATGCGATGGGACAAAAATAGAAACTTTAACCAACAGTGAGTCACAATATTACATACATAACACAGATTTTTGTTCAGAATGTATTAGATCGTAAGTCATGATTCAAAACATCCCTGGCATTTTATTCCTTTTCATAGTGTCACTGGATTTTCATGTCTAAGCTCATGTTGGGACAAGTGACTATGCTGCACTAAAATCAATTGCAGGACTTGCTCAACACAAGTAAAACAAAAAAGAAATTCAACAGTACATTGGAGTCTTATGGAGAAAATCACTTGGCTGACTTTTTATCTTTCTCAGTCTTCAAAACTTCATGATCCCAATTTGTGTTCCAACTCCAGAAGCACATTCAGCTTTGGAAAGTTGCTCTCCACATGTATCCTCTATGCTTCCCCCTTTGCCTCTCCCAGTTTGAAATATCAACCACACCATCATCCATCGCACAGGGCAAACCTCGAAGAGTCACCCTTGATGCCTAGCTCCTTCTCAACACCCCCAAATCCAATCTCTCAGCAACCCAGGCTGCTGCCCACATATCCCATGTGTCCTTCACTTCCACAGCCCAGTGCTGTCTTCGTCTTCTGACTGGACTAAAGCAGTAGCTGCTTCATTGTCACCAGCCATGCTTGTCACTTTCAATCTTATTGACTTCCCATTGCTCTTAAGATGAAGAAAATACACTATTACACAACCCATAAGGCTCTGCGTCACCTCAACTTTATTGAGCTGCTGAGCTTTCTATTCAGCCACCCCTTTCCCAACCCATTTACCCCACTCCAATGTCATGGATCCCCCTTCTCTTTGGAGAGTTTTGAGTTCCTTTCTACCTCAGAGATAGTTAAGGTGAAGGGGAAATGTTTAATGAACAAGGTGGACTTCAAAGAGCATGCACAATTTAGCAGAAGGGAGAAATGTGTATATGTGCCCAAAAGAGAAACTTAAAAGGATAAGAAGCAAAATGTTAAAATTATGGTGATTTAAGTATAATTTTTGCCTATACTCTTCTGTATTTTCCTTTCTAAGAGGAGCAATTTCTTCCTTCAATTAGTATGTATTGAGTGACTGTATTCCTCCAACATTTTCCTGGATGAGGATTATATATTGTTTCATTAATTTTAAAAATATATTTTAATTGAAGTTCTAACATTTGACTCCATTTCAATATCAGGAAATTTTGACTGCTTTGAGAGAGGCAGTGACTTGCCCAGGGTCACATAGTCAGCCCACACATCTTCTGAAGCCCAGCCTGGAACTCTGGGAAGCAACAGAAAAAGGAATTTGGTTTGCAATCAAGTTTTCTGGAGTGCAGCCCTTCAACAAGGTGAGGACACTCTATAAATACAACCATAAAATTTGTGCTTAATCCTATACCTTCTACTACGATATTATAAGTAATCATCTCCATGGCATTTTACCAAAAAGTTCCAGAAAGAAGCATAATTGCCTTTCTCAATAATTTTAAGGACTCTTTGTCCTTTACCAAAAAGTATTCTGTGAATTTTCCCAATTTTTTAAAAAAAATCTCCTGCCAGTTATTGAAGCTGCCAAGGTTTTAATGTGAGTCCACCAGTTCCAAGCTGCCCCAGATGTCTGAGTATAAATACATTTATGTATATATATATTTGAATTCTAGTGAGCTCTTGTAATTCATTCTTTTATCACAGGATGTAGTAAAAGCAAAGCCATAATTCCTTCATGTGTATCTATTTGCAATATCCATTCGAATAAAAACTCCCATTGTCTTCCTCATGGACATTGACTTATTGGAAGACCACTTGGTCTTTCTTGTACAGACCACGCAAATGAAAGATGATTTCCTTAAAGCAGGGCATTATTTTAATGAGTTACATCAGATAGAAAGCTTTTGCCTGCAATTAAATAAATCAATGATAGGCTTTGAACCAACCTCTGACATGAGTTAGATTTACAGACTATGTAACCTTCAGTTGACCTGCATTTCATTTTTTAAATTGGACCCCATCACAATTGAGTGATCAATAAATAGAATGCCACAGACATTCTCCCTTCTATTTGTCAGATATTATAAATGATCAGCCTGGTGGATACAGAGAGCAAACAGCTATTGGTCTAACCTTTTAAGGACCATCTCCTGAAAGCATGATATATCATTTTTACTTCATAGTAAAAGTATGCTTTTTTTTATACTCACCCCTTTTTGTACCCTAAGAGGTGATGTGGCTATAAATGCATGTATGAATCCTTCACAAATCTAATCTCTGGGTTGTGTATTTATTTTTGATAACCTTGACTGCTTCTAGCCTTGGGAGGGTGACAGACTACTTAATTTCTTAGGGTGACTCTGCTCTATTTATGAGAAAAGCCACTTTCCATTCACAGCTCGTGACCTATGCAGCTCTTTTATCCATCACTGCCATTCTGACAATCTAAGCATTAGAAGTTTAGTGAGTTACATCCTGACAATCTAAACATTAGAATTTTTTTCAGAAGGAAGAAAGCCTGGCTGGTAAAAGCTCTCTCTTGCCATGGCAGGTGGTCCTGAATTTGAAAAACATCTTGGCCACTTACTGGGTGTGTGATGTTAGGCAAGAGATTTAAGTTTCAGTTTCCTTAAAAGTAAAAAGCAGAGCGTGGCATCTGGGATTGTTGGAAGGCGATGCACAGCTTAGCGGTTTCCTGCAAACTCTTCATAAAATAAATTTACCTTAATATTAATAGTATTGATAATTTAAATTTAATATTGTTAAATTAAGTAAATAATGAAGTCATTCACTGAGGTGGTTCTAATAGTTTAGCAGTCCATGTAAGGACACCAAAATTTAAACTTGTAAACCTTTCAAGGTAAGAAATCAAAACTGATGGACAACCAATGACAGCCAACTAAGCTTTTCCAAATGAGGCAAACACTAAAGCTACAGCCAATCAAATCATTTCCTGTTTTGCTTCTATCTCTTCCTCATCCAAGTCCTCTCACTCCTGTGGTATAGAGTCTTCCTAATTACGTCTGCTTTGGTGCTGCCTGGCTAGAGTGAATTTTTGCTCAAGGTAAAAGAAAAAATGTAATATACTGCAGTTTATCTTTTAACAATATATAATACAACTAACATTTACAGAAGACTTTTTTGCCCCTAGTCCCCAAGTCAGAAATCTTACCAACATTGACTTGAGAATAATTGTGAAAACTCTAGAAAGGAGGAGAACATAACTCCATAAAACCCTCCTTCAGAATCCAGCCAATACTTGAATGCTCATGTTTATCTTTATTTACTCATCTGGTTGCCTTTTATGGAGCCCCATCCTTTGCTGTGTCAGGAGTAATTCTCTCCTGGGGTCCAGTCAACCAACTTCAAAGTGGACTTTTGCAATTGAGTCCTTTGTGTGTACTCTTTAATATTCAGCATAGCTTTAGTCTTTACTAAATCTTTATATTTCTGACCATATGGGTTTCTGCTTAAGACCTGAAACTCATGGGAAAACGTATTTTGTTTAATGTTTTGGCAACCTTTATGTATAGAAATGCCTAAAGAGTCAACTGGTGTCAAAATTCTTTCAGATGTTGACAGCACATCCTAATATACTGTAAAGACCTGTTTTCTCAGTGAGGAACTGCAAATCTTTCCATGCTAGGAGACCAGAATGAGTAAGGAACAGATAGAAGACTGAGACTACCTCCCAAGGTCTTGGGACATCACACAGAAAACCTTGAGAAAGGGAGGAATGACCCACTCCCACAACATTCTATCCTCTCTTCTTAGCAGTTTTGTCTGGAACTCTGATGAGAAAAAGGGAAATAAATGTTCAGCTACATGCGCAGAAATGATGCTGGAGTGTCTGGTAACTTAGAGTTACTGCCCACCTGGCAGATGAGGTGTTCTTGGAATGCCCTGCCCTCAGCAATGCATTTTGTTAGACATGAGTCTGTTATAACATGAACTGTTTAAACTATAAACACAACAGGTAACAAAATTTTATATGCAGACACACATCCCCTCTCGTATGAACTTACACAATACAATCACAATGATGTAAAATAAATCAATTTAAAAAGCATAAAGTCCATAACACTGAAACAGTGGTTATTGTTGAATGGGACATTATGGGTATTATTTTTCCTCTTTCTACTTTACTATTTTTTTCTAATTTTTCTACAGTTGTGTATTGCTTTGATATCTGAAAAATTATAAAAGTAAAAATTATAAAAGTATACTTTTATAAAATATAAAAGTATGTTCATTAATATTTAGCAAATTTCACTTTTTAGCTAAAGAGAAAAATGAATATTCAGTTTTCAGAACAGATGATCATCTGACCTACACAAGAGTTTGACCATCGCCCTGACAAAGGTTGATAATTAGTAACTGAGAGGAAACTTTCCAAGTGGTGTGAGCAGTCTGGGACAGTCTGCTCTCTCTGGGACAAATCCTTCCTTTTTCTGTTAAACTTTCTGGTTAATCTTCGATCTGGAAAGGTGGAGGCGGGTAGGGGGATAAGGTGAATAAAACTGCTAGATCAGTAGGATCACCAAACCATGGTCCACTGCTTTGAAAGCCTGTGCAGCCTAAAAACAACACACTTTGCTTCATACAGATCAAGGCAGGGCCCTGCAGGGCAACCTTGCAGTGAAACCTTGCAGCACACCAGGGAGCGAATTGCTTAGGCCTAAGGATATCAGGGCTCTCAGTCCGAAGGAGCTATTTCTGCCAATGCAGCCCCCATTCCAGCCTCAAGGAGGTTGTGGGTGGGGCCTCATTGGAGCCCTGGGAGTGAGTTTTAATTTTCTGTTCTGGGTAGGGCTGCCCTGCTCATCTGCTGATTTTGTTTTCAGGAGCTTTGGAGAAATGTTTAAGATTCTTTCCTCAGCATAAGCCTCGGCGGTTTTGTGTTGAGAGAAACCTAAGCCCGTATCACCTGGGGATGGGTGACTGGTCAGCAGTAAAGCAACAGTGTTCAAACAGCAGAATCCCAGTCTGATTTGATGTCCCTCGGGCAAGCAGGTGGAGGAGATGGGACCAGGTGACCTCAGTGCCAGTGGGAGTGCTAGAAGGCCATTTCTGGAATATTTCTATTCCAAGTCCTCCTTAGTAATTTTCCTACTGGAAGGTGGAACCTCAGTCCCCACCAACCAAAGCTAACTTCGAGTCAGAGCAGTAACTATTAGGTGAGTGGATTTTTCACTTGAAGAATGGGGAGAAATGACCTCCAGTGCTTACTGAAAGCAGATTCTGTTAGATACTAGGGACGATTTGGAGACTCCCCCAGAACACCACTGAAATTAAGGGGTTGGGAGGACAAGATGTAAAGAAATGAGGCAAGACAAGGTGGCCCGGAACTTGTCCTATTTGCCAAAAGGGAAGAATAAGCCAAAGCTGGGGGGCTGCCTCTGAGAAGAGTAGCCTAGAAGAGAGGAGCTCAGCAGGGGGACTCCCCACCCCCATGTCTCCACCTGCCCACTCAGTCCCTCTGTGGCCAGGCGCCTCTGGCCGGCTCCAAACTCCAGGAGTGGAGGCCTGAGGACCCCGAGGGGCTCCCCAGGGCGGTACCTTGGTGCCTTGGTGGAAGTCGTCGACGGACTGTGTGCCCATGAAGGGGAACTGCATGTGCGTGTGCGTGTCGATGCCGCCGGGTAGGACCAGCTTGCCCGCGGCGTCTAGGACCCGCAGCCCGGCTGGCGCGCCCCCCGGAGGCAGCAGGTCGCGCCCCAGCGCCCGAATCACCCCGTCCTCCACCAGCACGTCCACCACCTGCGAGGAATCATCGTTGACTACGCGACCCCCGCGGATCAAAAGCCGCGTCGGCGCTGCCATGGTGAGGGGCGCACGGGCTGCGCCGGGGCTGGCCTGGGCGAGAGGGGTCGCCTTCTTTCAAGGATCCGGAGAACCGTCCCCAATCTCCAGCCGAGGCTACACAGGTCTGGCAAGTCCCAGGGTTTATCAATGGGCCTTGGGGAGCGGGCTCCACCCTCTGGAGTGGGCTGGGCTGGGCTGGGCTGGGCTGGGCTGGGCTGGGCCGGCCCTAAAGGCTAGGACAGAGCAGATCGCACAGGACAGATCAAGAGTTCAGAACCCAGATGTTCTGTGGCCCTGAAACCCAATGTACATCCAGGTCTCTGAGTCATCGAAGGGAAAGATCCGGGAGTTAGAAAAATGAGGGATGTTTGTTTTTCTTCATAGGAAAAGCGCTTTGGGGGAAGTAACCCACCTGATGCCTAGGGGTATGTTTGTCTCTTAACTGAGTCTGAGGAGGAGCGAGGGAGGCGCACAGATCCCCCCAACACCAGAAACTACTGTGAAAATACCCACGAGCTCCAGAGACACTTGATCTGGATTTCCTTTTAAATTTTTAAAAATTACATGAGGAACAAATGATCACACAATTCCAGTAATTGGCAGGCAGAGCTTGAAAGGTCACAATGAACTATTTAACCTATTTGAAACTAAAATGATTAAGTAGCAACTGTGCTCCAGGTTGTAATAATACAACAAGCAAGTTTTTCTTGGAAAAACAGCAAGGGGTGTAACTCTAAGGATCAAGATTTTTGTTCCCAGTTTCCCCATAATAGCAGCTTAGTGGTGCTCAGTGAAATCTTTTATCCTCTTGGTTCCTTAGTTTTTTCATATATAAAACTGGGCAATACTTGGTCTTTCTTTTCAGGTTTACGTTGAGAAATAAAAATGCTGATGGATATGAATGCATTGTAATACAACGGGAAACCCCCCACACATGTATTTAACGAACAGTAGTTTTGTAAGGACTGACCTGGAAGGGGATTAGATAGAGCAGATGAAGATAAGCAACATTTTCAGCCCCGAGGACAAAGGAGCCAACGCACATATGTATTTCAGTATAAAAAACAAAACTACATTTGAGAGAGGATAAAGAGAAGAGTATAGAAGAAACGGGGAGTTTGTCAGCCCTGAAGAAAATTAGATATTGAAAATTCACAAGTTGGTATTTGGACTAGCATATTATAGAAGACATGAACATATAGAGGTGAAGGGTGGGAGGTGGAACAGTGTTCTAGGCAGTGAGAACAGAGTGGGCAAAGGCACAGAGGAGTTGGTAGCTGGGAAGATAGGATTAGACAGGCATGGAAACCCTCTTGTCTTAGAGAAGATGGAAGAGGAGAGGGGAAGAGTCTGAGAGGGGCAGAGTCAAAGAGGGGGGACCAAGAGCACTGCGTGAGGGAAGGCAGGGGCGCAGTGTGTCAAGGAAGGCAACAGCATCAAATGCTGTCGGAGGGTTGGAGAGTGTGCTGGTCACCTGCTGTTCCAGTCTCTATTCTTGTCCATATTCTGGTAAAGAGTTTCTGGGGTGGGAAATCCTCCATCATGGTTCTCAGAACACTTGCCTGGTGGACTTGATGGGATAACTGGTTCAAGACCTGATCTGCTCAGCTAGGCTCTGCCTGTCACAGCTGATACCCTCACGGCCACGGGTTGCAGGGGTTCAGGGATGGGCACCTCAAGTAGACTTATGTGTCCAACAAGAGCAGACTCTACAAGATGTTAGTTAGGAGCAGACAAGAAACTTGCTGTTTGGGGAACCTGAATCCAGGAGGTATAAACAAGAGACTTCTGGGAGCTGTTTAGACCACCTGGGAAAACAAACAACAGCCACACTGGAGCAGGAAGGAGGGAATGAGAGAGACCGGCATCTCCCAACTCTGGAGTTCCTGAAACCACTGAAGCTAAGCTCAGGTCCTCTCCTCCAGCCTTCAGATCTTGCCTCAGCAGATTTACTTTGGGTGTTTCATCATTTTCTTTTTTTCTTTTTCTTTTTAAAGATTCATCTATTTATGCATACAAGAATTGGGGTACAGGTCAGAGGTGTGGAGGGTGAGAGGATCCACCAGAGACAGAGTGGGGAACAGAACAGGCAGACTGACTGAAATACACTGCTGAGGGGAGCAGCAGGCGAGTCAGGAGAGGTCTGCTGCGCCATGTGGGTTGCTCCCTGGCTGGGGATCGAACTCATGCTGCAGTGGCTGCGGATAGCTCCATAGGCTGCATCTTAACCCCTTGTGCCACCAGGGAGGCCCTCTTTTGTCATTTTCAACAGTCAACTGGCAGAAACTGGCAAGACGCCTTCCACCTGGGCAGTCATGTGTGACCCTGGAGAGGGACTTTTCAGCAGTGGGATGTGGTCCTCACAGCCTGGTGACCACAGTCCCTTGTCCTTGCCCTGTTCATCCTTGCTCTGCTCTGGTTTCTTGCAGACAAAACCAGAAAACTGGGCAGACTGGCTGAGACCAAGATGGAGGCAGAAGGAAGTACCATGAGGGTTAAGTCACAACCTCACTACGTAAGTGAAATAGCAGCACAGCAGCAGCCTGGCAGATGAGGTCAAGCCAAAGTTTGGGTGTGAAGGCAGTTTCTGGAAAACCCTGCTTATTTCTCTGCAATCCTACTGGCACAGACCCTTTAGCTTCTCCCCTTCTTTACTACTCCCCCAATTAAGTCCCTGCTTTTCCCCAATTTGGAGAGATGCCTAAGACAGCAGATGGCCATTTCCTCAGGATGCTGCCTGCCGATTAAACCCCATCTCCTTCCACCTCCCAGCTCTTGAGTTTTGGCTTATGTGGGGTGAGTAGGCAGAACAAAACTCCAGTAACATGAGGAATAGTTATCACTAAATTTTCTTCAAGTCTCAGATTATACAAACCTCAACATGCTTAAAAATTAGAAAGCATCCATACATTAAATTTCCATAGATTTGGCAGTCAAGTCAGGAACAGGAAACCCAAGAAGGTTGTGCAATTATTATCAAAAGAGCATTGTAGACAGGTAAAAGGTGTGATTATAAACATAACAAACCCCTACCAGCTTTATGAGTAAGCACCATGCTAGGAAAATAAGATTGGATGTCGGAGGGCCTCTGAGAACCTTTTCAAAACTGTCCAAGCAAGTGATTTCAGAGGCTGCTGCTTTTTTTTCTTTTTTTAAAGATTTATTTATGCATACAAGACCTGGCGTACAGGCCAGAGGTGCAGGGAGCGGGGTGAGAGGATTCACCAGAGACAGAGTGGGGAACAGAACAGGCAGACTGACTGAAATACACTGCTGAGGGGAGCAATGGGCAAGACAGGAGAGGTCTGCTGCACCATGTGGGTTGCTCCCTGGCCAGGGATCAAATGTGCTGCAGTGGCTGCAGATAGCTTCATAGGTTGTGTGTTAACCCCTTGTACCACCAGGGAGGCCCCAGAGGCTGCTTCTTTTTAACACTTTACATCCCGACATGCTCTGCAAAACAAACTTCTCACATGTAATTAGCTCAAACTTTTATCAGAAAAAAGGGTTTGGGGCCTCCCTGGTGGTGCAAGGAGTTAAGCACAGCACTGTGAAGATATCTGCAGCCTCTGCAGCACGAATTTGATCCTCAGCTGGGGAGGTAACCCACATGGTGCAGCAGACCTCTCCTGTCTCACCCACTACTCCCCTCAGCAGTGTATTTCAGTCAGTCTGCCTGTTCTGTTCCCCACTCTGTCTCTGGTGAATCCTCTCACCCCCTGCACCTCTGGCCTGTACCCCAGTTCTTATACACATAAATAAGTAAATATTTAAAAAAAAATTAAAAAAAAGAGTTCACTGATGGCACAGAGGGGGGCAAGTTTAAGGAGACTACTACTCAGAGAAGGCGTTCTCCCCACTTCTGGCCATCACCCCCCACACCAGCTGGCCTGGGGGTGGGAGTCTGCACCTGGACAGACCTGCTCAGAAGCAGGCCTGTCCTCAGAATAACCTGTCTCCCTTTTCTTTGCCCTGCTCAGCCTCCTTACCCAGACATTCGGCCTCCGTGGCAGTAAACAGACACACCATGTGGGCACTGGGAGGAAGGGGGGAAGCTGTTTTGGCTTCTCCTTGCTGGGGAGAGAATCACTTTGATGGACTCTCATACTTGAATGTATCTGAGAACACATTACTCTTCAGAGGAATAACTTTGAAGGAAGATTACAAAGATTGTCAATGCTTAACTCACAGAAACATACCCATGGAAGCGCCAGTGACAGCGACTTAGGCAGGAAGGTCTTTTCAACCCTGCCTGATGGTTAAGAACAAGGCAGAGGAGCCAGTGGGTAACTTTCTTCAGAGTGCCTCAGGTTTTCAGAAAGCAAAAAAATCCCTATCCTCCTAACCATCCCCACTCCCATGCCAGGCCCCTGTGGCCCTCAAAGGATTCCAGGTCATTGTTTCAACCTGGTAGAAGAGCCGTCTGGAGCAGAGGGAAGGTATGGTGAGGGAATGAGAGCAAAACCCTGCAAGGAGAGAATGGGAAAGAACTTGGTATCCAGAGCTGGCCTGCCTGAGCTGGGAGGTAAAGTAGGCCCCTGAGGGGAACTAAATCAGCATCAGAAAAGGGTGGTGGGCAGCATGGAAGGGTGGAGAGAAAAGAAAATTGAAGGAGGAATTGGAATCAGGAATCAAAGCCTGCCTCTGAAGAAGTTGGGCAAGTCACGCTTTCTTGGTGATGAACAAAGCCTGACTTCCGACTTCCTGACGCTTTCCTCAGACCTGAGGCCCTTCCTACTCATCGCCTCCTAGTCATCTACATGTTGCCCCGCCCTGCTGTGCTTCTGCTTGGATAACTAATGTCGTGAATGTTTTAAAAAATATATAAAGAGGGCTTCTTTGTGGTGCAGGGGTTAAAGACCCAGCGCCATCAAGCTATTGCCAGCCACTGCAACATGAATTCAATCCCCAGGCAGGGAGCTGACCCACATGGTGCAGCAGGCCTCTCCTGTCTTGCCTGCTGCTCCCCTCAGCAGTGTACTTCAGTAGATATGACTGTTCTGCTCCCCACTCTGTCTATGGTGAATCCTCTCTCACCGCCCCCCCCCCCCAGAATCTGGTATTACTTGCAGACTCTGTGTGTGTGTGAG